AGAACGGTGCTGAGCTAAAACTATGCAGTCTTCCGAGGGTTCACCATAGACTGCAAATCTTCAGTGTAAAAATGTATTTATCGGGAACTCTCATTCCTGTTCGTCCCATTGCGTGTTCCTGTCAGTAATATTCTGTACTACACCTACAGTCCCTTGCAAGTGTGTACCGAATTTCATCGAGCCATGTTGACTACCAGTGTTATATCATGAAGAAGTTACTTTCGCCTTCAAATGTGCAGGTAGCGATCAAATTGGTGTGGCATTTCGCTTGAAAATGAAATAATAGGTACGAATAGGGTTGTCAATGAGGAGAAAAGGGAAATTAATGAAGGGACAACTGTAATTAGGGAACTTTCCTGTTGTGAGGTCGAACGTGAGACGACGGGGAGAAACAGCGCTGCAAGGAGAGGGAAAACGCGGGAGAATAGATTGCGCATGGGGGAGCCCAGACGCCACGTATCTTGCGAACGATAAAGATATCAGCGGTCGCAGCGGTGAAAGGGAGACGATAGCTCCCTTGGAGCGCCTTTCGAATCGTTTTAGAACATGTAGAACACCACTATCTGCGTGTTTAGCTACATAACTACGTGCTACCTCACCTACTGGGAGAATTTCTCTAATCAGAAATGGAAGATGGGATCGAATAGATGGGTCGAAGTGGCCATGTGCAATGAGACCTAACTGTTGAATGTGTTTTTGGGCAGTGATCTCGAGTCTTCTTTGCAGATCTGCCAATCAATTTTTTGAACGAAGTCTGATGGAATTGAGTAGCGGTAATACTCCGGGCTCACGGGCGAGTGGTTGCAGGCCCTGAGGGCTTCTCCTTTTGCCTCCACAACAACATAGTTGAAAAGGCTCCAACAACATTACTTGATCAACGCTCGCTCATAGTTACTCGTACAAAGAGTTTGCGAGGAGTTCCTGGCAAATTTGAGCGCGGTATGCTAATGACTGCACACAGAACTCGCAGAACTCTTGACAGACGTTTTCCAACAGACAGGTGGGATATTCGTGTTTTCAAGATGAAAATAACCCTGAACTCAAAGTTGAAGCCAAATCACCCGTCCGGGAATCGATCCTACGACCTCTCGCCCGTGAGCCCGGACCACTACCGCTGCTCTATTTTGCTTCATAACTCGTTCAGAAAATCGATTGGCAGATTTGAAAGCAGATTCGAGATCAGCGTTCAAAAACACATCCAACAGTGTAGACATTACATGACCACTTCGACAGATCATCCTTGCTGGTAAGGTTCGGTAGCGACCTCTGCCTCCATGTTGTGCACAGCAGTGAGAACATGAACTACTGCGGTAAGAGCAAAACACCAAGGATAAAACAACAACTGCACTCACGATTATAGTGATAGGAAGAGCCAGCACAAGCACTCCACAAGCTATCGCACCAGTGGCCACCAATTTACCAGCTGAAAACATACTAAGATCTGTCCATTTACAAAAATAGGTATTGATCAAAGATTAAATCTGAAAGGAAATGATGGCGTAAAAGGTATCTACTCACCAACGGTGACTGGCGTAAGGTCCCCGTAGCCTGCAACAAAAATGCTTTTTTGAATGATAGCAGTTTACATTATTTACTTCACGGTGTTCACGGTTACGATCACAACATTTAACTCACCAACAGTTGTCATCGTGACGATACACATGAAACGAGAAGTGATAAGTTGCGTACCAGTTGGAGTTGAACTTTTGAGTGCTGTTGGCGGAAGAAGTTTTGAACGGCTCAATCGTACCGCCAACAGCACTTAAACCACTGATCTTTGCAGCCGAAGGGAGCTCCTCGAGGGGTGGGGTCGGGAGCGAGTTGAATAAAGCAAAGCATTCAGCTCCTATCCGGAGCTTCACCACTCCGCAAAAGTTGGCATTACGGAAGGAGACACTAATTATGCACCATAATATTTTCAATAATCCCTAAATGGAATCCCTAAAGGGGGAAGTGGTGTAGTGACAAGTGGCGCGCTCACCACGCGAGCGGTCCGGGGATCAAATCCTGGGTCGTGAGTCGCCCGGGCCAACCAAGCCTTCCATCCCTCCGGGGTCGGTTAATTGGTACCAGACTTGTCTGGGAGGATAAAAACACTGACTTGAACATCGGCTGGCCCCCGCAAGTCATTGTATAGGCCACATCGCAAATGCCACTACGAATGTACAAATGGAAGTAGAATGCGTGCCGCATCCCAAAAAGGGATTGATCAACAGCAAATGCTTTATCCTTGTATCCTCTTTTCATCTATGGATAGGCGAAATGAATGGGATAATCGCCAGTGTAATCCTTTCTTATTTACTTCATCCAAAAGTGTTATCGCTATAAGCAACGGGGGTTTTCAAATCCTCTGCGTCACGGATGAAGAGTGGAGTTCTCTATAGGCTCTGTACCATTTAGATTTTGAAATGAGTCTTCCCTTTTTGAAATGATTGTCAGAAAGTTATAGTCGATCACATAGAAGATTGGCATTTTTCCAACTCTCTAAGAGTCCCCTCTAAGACCGACCGTCACACTCGGCGGCGGACAAGCGATGGAGCGATCGCGATCGCTCGCTCCATCGCTTGTCCATCGCCGAGTGTGACGTCGGTATAATCGAAAGGGGCGCGTAAGGCGATCGCTGGAACCTAGTGCCGTTATGCTAGAGCGCGATTTGACTGCTTTTAGGCAGTACCTTCTCACCTTTTGTGTTCCTGAAAAGATGGAAAGAGAGGCCAGTCTGAGCAAAAATAAGTTTGCGATTTGAACCGGGAAGCATTCGCATACTAACGGTGCTGCCTCCCTCTCGTGCATCTTAAGCTAAATTTTTTTTTGCTATAGCGGATGTGCGGTGAGCAAAGGTTGTGTCGTCGGTGTCCTATCGAGAACAAGGGTCAACCGTCCGTTGAAAAAGTCCAACGAGGGGGTTGGGGGGGGTCGTATTACGCGAGAAGTGTCAAATCTAGCGTGATGAGGGGAAGGGGTTTTTTATGGAACGGATAGTGGGTTCTTGTAGGCTGGGCTTTTGGGTTGAGTGTGAGTGTGAAAATTTTGCCGTTTCACGTTCCATATATACCCCCCCCCTCGACGGTAATTTTGGAAGGAAAAGTGGGCGGAGTTGGGCTGTGTGGACTGATCTCAGAATCAAATACTATAGAATCGCCCCCGGCAGGCGAGGGTGGTGGAGGATGGTCGTGAGGAGTTGGCCCTGGGGGGGGGGTCGTATCGAGGCCCTCCAGAGGGGGAGGGGGTCGTAAAATTTTCGAAATTGGTCCAACGTGACGGTTGACCTTGATCGAAACCTCCATTCAGGAGAGAGGCGGGGGAGGAATCATTAGGACGTGGTGATTCCCTCGACACCATTTTCACTCTGCTCCAGCTACCTCCCTATCAATATGTTTGGGAAAAGTGAAATTTCAACGGCAGTTGATATGTAAAATCGCCCCACCTGTTTGGAATGAAATTCTGGCTGGAAATGGTGCAGCAATGAAAACAATATTAAGGAACATGGCATAAAACCAGCAAGATGGAGCTCTCATTGTGCCTGCTGCTCTTCGCTTCAGATGTGGCACAGGGTTGAGGCCCTTTGAGGACAAACGTTGTTCAGGCGGCATTAGCAGAAGGTCATGGTTTGATTGAGACGGTATTACACAAGCAATAGCACGAAGGCGCCGATGCCACGGGTGAAGCCCCACTTGGGTAGGTGGGGCACGCCATTTGCCCTGAAATCTTGATTTCCTTGGGCTCCCGCTCCATAGTCCATGGCAGTGAGCATATTCCCTTTCTGGAACATCCAGTTTATCAGAGTAACTGCCTTCAAAGCAACGCATGCAGGTCACGATAATTTGATGCTTTGTCGGTAATTGCTCGTTGAAAACAATTCTCAAAATTCAAGTGATAAAATCAAGAACTTTATTTTATAGCAACCATCCAGAACTTGAAGAAGGACCTCGTTTTGGTCGTTGATAGAGAAAAAGGAAACACCTACCACCAACATGCAGCCGGTATCGAGTAGAACTGCGAGCTAGGCTCATCCTTTTCTAAAAAATACACCAACGTTGAGAAGAAAATCACACCCGTCAGAACGACCATAGCCATCATTCCCAACTGTCGAAACGACGCCTGAAAATAATAAGTGCGATCCAAGAATAGCCATAGATGAGATTCGCTTCAAAAAACTTAAG